ACACTGGCCGGAGATCACAAAAAATGAACAACAAATAATAAAGTTGTAATTTCCAAAAAAAAAAAAACTATTATTGTGGGCAAAGTTTTTATCTTAAAAAATAACTGGTACATCTTGTAATTTACCATATCTTTCAACCATTAGAATATAGGTTAAATGTTTGTTTGATCCCTAAACTTTAAGGTTTTGTATAGTTTTAGATCCTCAACTTTTTAAAGCATTTTTTTGGTCTCCTAACTTTAAAAAATACATTTTTTTTGTCCTTTCGTACGTTAATCTATTGAGTTTATTCGAATATACACATTTTTAGTTTCCAATGCACATTTTTAATTCCTAAATTTAAATTTATATATATAGATAAATTTAACAGATTAATTGATAGAAAAACTAAAAAAGGTGCATTTTTTAGAATTGTGGGATCAAAATTGATATTTAACCTATAATATAATATAAGTACAGTCGATTTAATTGGTTTTTACATTTTTTTATATGATTGTATCTCTAAATTTATTTGTTTTTAATTTCAAATTAAAAAATAATTTTTAATAAATATATTATGCAATATATGAAAACAAAGAGTATACCATCATTGTACTTTCATCTTTTTATAGTACATGTTTTTTTCCTTTTTACTTAATTAAAAAAATTTGAAAGTGAAAATCGGCTAAACAATTTTTTTTTTATAAGGAACGCAAGATTTTTATTAAATTTTAATTAAGTCTTTCTTAATTAAAAGTAGTTTTGGTCTTAAAGAAAACCTTTATTTTTTCTTACGTAAGGGACTAGACACTTATGCTTATTCGTCTAAAATATATTATGACTTTGCTGTATCTTGCTGCGCTAATTATTTTAAGTTTGTGCAGTCTTAATTTTTGATGTATACAAGTTTTTTAATTATGACAAAAAGGAGAAGTGTTATGGAAATTTACATCTCACGAATGGAGCATGGATTAAGGGGCAGACTCTCTGAACCTCTCTCTTTAATCTTGTTACTTATCATAATTGATTTTATTGATTATATGATTGAGGACGAGATATGCTTTTCAAATTGTTTTGATTTAAAGGGATATTTTTGAAAATTCTGCACATTTACACCACGTCATCATCAATAAAGGGAGAACGTTGTTCTTAATATTTGATGATTACCAAAACCAAAAATTGAATATTTGAAAACGAGTTTTCAAATTTAACAATTACAGACTTTATAAGGTTTTCACACTCATATTTGAAAACAAGTTCATGGAATAAGTTACAAATTCCTTTTTAAGAATATAAATCACATCTAGAATTTCTTTAATTGGGTTTCCATATTTGAATATTACACCCAACGGTATTATCTAAGTCGGCAAGATTTAAAACTTCATGGTTGAGGACAGATTTTCTTATATGAAAAATTTTCAAATCAAATATTTAAATCTGTTATATAGTCCAGAACTTAATTTGTAAGTTCCAGAACATCCTTCTAACTTTCTCATGAATGCAAGAAGTTTCAAAACAAATTATCGAAGTTCCAAAACACTAGGCAGAATCTTGAACAAAAAGGAAATCAAGGACTTTTCATTCTAAACTATAACGGCCAATTTGACTTGGGTTTAAGTGTGAGGGTATAAAAAGGAACTTTGTAGTCGATAGCAACAATTGAGCAAAACCCTAGCGCAAACTTGAGAAAGAGAGTTTAATTCTTCAAGCTTAGTTCTCTGTGCTTCATCTTGGTTATTTGATCATATAAGTTATCAACAGTATTTGTTACTCTTTAAGGAGTGAGAAAATGTTTGGGGGAATCTTTGTTAGATCTAAAAAACCTTCCTAATGGTTGGAATTGGATTTTAAGAGAGATTGTAATAAAGTAACAACTTGTTGAAAGTGAATAAGGTTGATAGAATTATTATTTACAGTTACTTCTACACTCACAAATTAAAAAAAAAAATTTGAATTCAAACTAAACTCTCAAATAAGAGACTTAAGGAGTAAACTAGATATAAATTATAACTGAACCACTATAAATCATCATATTTGATATTCTCTCTTCCCTTACTCTTTTAACTTCTGCATTTTAGTTTAATTGTTTGTATGGACACTTACTTGTTTATTAATTTAATTACAAAATGACATATGTTACTTAAAAATCCAATTCACTTTCCTATAGGGTTGCCATTTTTTAGCCAACAATTACATCAAAAAATAGAGAGAACTGAACTCCCGCCGTCATCTCAAAATTGCTGAAGTTGAAGCCTAAAAGAAACACAAGGTTGAATGTGACATTGCATTTTAGTGTAGGTGTGACTGCAAAATCATCATCCGTTATTAGAAAATATCAAAATCAAAATCTAACTTGAGATATTTGATATTAGTATATGTTCCTCTCTTTATTTTCACTCCAATGAAGGTAATATTTCAATCAAATATTGCACAACCTAAATTAATAAATGGAGATGAGTCTCCGAATATCATAAACTGTCCCTGCACAATAATTTCATATTTTGTACAGTAATCTAATATTTTTCTTCCATTTATTAATTTGAATCAATCTGGAAGTGACCCTCAACGGCAAGGACTAAAAACAATAGTTTCCTAATTTTTCGAGGCAATGTCAATTCCACGTGGGAAATATGAAACCAGCAGCAAATCAAGTTAGCTAGCCACTAGCTTTCCCACTCACTCTTAACGGATAACATCAATGGCCTCCGCCTCTAACGTCTCTCCCGCCGCCGCATCTATTACACACTAATCTCTTCATCTCTCCTCCAAACTCCCCTTCCCTAACCTTCCCCATAGACCAATTCCCAAAAACAGCAGACCACCAACCACAGGACTCCACGTGTGCTCTCCCACCAACAAAACCCTCTCCATCGCTGCCAACCCCAAGGAAGAAACCATCTTCTTCGACGGCCGGCGGAGTCCACTGTGGCGGCCTCATTGCAAACCTATTTCTGGGCTTCACTCTCCTTCGGCCGCCGTTAACTCTGGCCGCTGTGTCAAGGGCTTTTTACTTGAGATACAGCTTCAAAAACCTTTGGGTGACGGTTACATCCGGCCTGACGGGTCAGGACTGGAGCGATTTCTCTTGCAATGTGATCAAGGACGTGCAAGTGGTGCCGCGGTTTGTGGGTGAGTAGAGCGATATTGTCATTACATTGAAGGATAGAACCGAGGTTGAATTTAGGAATCTGCCCAAGTTCAGAGAAATTGCGAAGTACTGTTTATCCATGGCTGAGAAGCCTGTGGCTTTAAGGAAGCTGGACCTAAAGGGTTTTAGGTCAATTCTTTTCTTGAGAAGGTATGTAAAGTTTTTCCCCTTTTTTTTTAACACATTTATATTCTTATTGTGAAAATAATGATTTCAAAGTAAATTCGTTCATGTTTGTGTGGAATTGTTGGAATAGGGTGAGAGTTTGTTTGCAACTAGTTGGAATTTCCCGTTACTATTCATAGTGAAATTTGTTAGATATCTGAGATGGTGATGGCTTTTGGCAACATTTTTAAAAAATTAGTGGCATTACTGTTGTTATTTGTAGTTTTTACCTATAGATGGCTTTCTGGTTCTATAGATGCAAGGAACAAAAGGATCTTATGTATTAATGTATGGAACTGGGAGAGAGATAATGTGAACTTTTAGCTATCCTTTGGGGAATTTCCTTTCATGAAATGGAGAATGTAATAGTTAACTGATAACATGAAAAGTAAATGTCTGTGGCAGAGAAATGGTTATCCGCCGTCCATGTTTTTTGGGAATTATTTGCTATTTGATAAAATTCTCCAAATGTAAGGTGAAAACAAAAGCTGCATTTGCGTTTATCATCTTGATCTTGTTTGCTAGAATTTGAACCATTTATAAGAGTGCAAATCATGCTTACCGGATGCAAGGTCTGAGTTTCTAACTTTAGATTAAGCAGTTTGAGTTACATGCAGGTCTCTTTCATTTAGAGTGAGCTGATATGAAGTTTAGAGCAAAGAAAGTGCAATTAAAGTACCTGATTAGTTTCTCTAGCGTGTTCCATGTCATAGACATACTTTTAAGGCCAAAGGGAAAAAGGCATTTATGTTGTAGACATATTTCTTTTTATTAGAATGACCGCAGATGGAGCCTATAGTTGATATGAATTGATTTGAACAAGAGAGTTGTTTCAGTTAGGAATTTCAAGCGTTGGTTGAGTAGAAGAAAACAAAAATGATTTGGAGATGTTATCGGTGTGATGACAGCCGTGTTAAAACAAGTAGAAAATGGAAGAAACTGGAGATCTTAAACATTGCTTTCATTATTTAATTACCAATTTTGCAAGTGGCTTTGTCCTCTAGATCACTTGACATTTTACATTTAAGTAACAGATCTTACAAAATGCTGCTGTGTTCAATCCACATATTTGCATTTCGGAATACTAAAAATCCTCACCAGTATAGTAACACCTTTAAAAGATGGACCCCGTCCATCAGAAAACTATCTTATTAGTTGCAAAATATTGTCTGAGTGAGCTAGATTGAAAGGTTTTTTATGCAAGAGAACATTCACCAAGAGTCTTATATTGATCTTGTGGTGCATGAATCAACCTTTACTCCCCCTTTTACTAGAGCACATAATTTAGGGATGAGAAAATGTGGTAATTACTATATTGTAAGCACCAATAATTTGTTGATTTGAGTTGAAGAAACTCGGTTCTGGTTAAGGTTTTAAGTTCGAGTCTTGTAAATAAAAAAACAAGCATTAAGAGAGTTTTTTACCTTCTGAAATGATTCAACTTTGAATAAGTCATGACTCAATGTAATTTCTAGATATCGGGGATTAAAATGGAGGTGGATTTAATTTTGATTTCATGCTAATGATTTTGCTTGTTATGTGTTATGGCCATCCGCACATCCCTTAACTAACTAATGATATTTTTTTATATGAATCCAAAATTGTATTACTTTAAAGTATAAGGGTACTTTAAAGTATAAGGGTACTTGTATCCATGTACATCATAGTAATAAGTTAGAGAAATACGATCAAACCTTAAGCCCAAGAACATGATACAGCCCACTTTTCCAATTTCATATGATAGGGAGAACAACACCAGCCAAATTACAAGCATGCAACTTCAAATTTCCTACGAACACAAATATGGAACAGAGCACCATTGATGATGAGAAATATACTCCCTTCTGCCCTGCCTCGTGTCCAAGTAAACATTGTTCTTCGAATCATTTCGAACAACATGTTCTCATCCCAAGGGCTAGAGTTATAAATCATACTATTTCTCATGAACCATGTGGACCAGGCCACCGGAAGAAACATAAAATTCCAAATCTTGGGTTTCTCAAGCTTCTTAATGCTGTACCTTGACAGTGTGAGTTGCTTGGGGATTGAACTGAGCCAAGAAGAGCAAGGGAAACCCTCAAACGCCCTACCAACTGTCACACCTCATCCATAGATTTTGAACTTTCAGAAAACAAATAAACGGGTGATCTTCATCTTCAATACTCTCAGCACAAATGCTGCATAATTGGTCTGAATTGTTAAGATAAACCCCCCTCCTAAGCAAGCCTGCTTTTGTAGGTAGTCCACGAAGCAAAAGTCACCAACCAAAGCAGCTAATCTTGCAAGGAATTAGGCCTGTTCGAAGTCCTTTGCAAGTCCTTGCATCTGGGATGCTGTTCTGCTACATCATCAGTGAATATGCCTTCTTAGATGAATAACCATGCATTGAGTCCAAATTCACCGGGATATACATTATTGATGCTTAATAGGACAATCATTTGCTAGAGTATTCAACCAAAGTCTTCAAAGCAGGCCATGGAGACTTGTGTATCTGCTTCTAGTAGTTTGAGTATGAAAATTGTTTGAGGTTTCTTCTGGTCTTTCCATGAACTGATAAAGTCAAAAAACGTCTGTTTATGACTTGATCATTAAATATAGATAGCAACTAACAGCTTATTTGGTTTGAGGGAAATAGAGAGGAGGGTAAGGAAGAAGCTTCCTTTTATTTGGACAAGAAAAAAAAAATAGAGAGGAAAGGGGAGCAAAGAAGCTTCGGACGACGTCATTTGTTTTATTTTTTCCTTTTATTTACTTTGTTCATTTTAACATATTCAAAGAATTGAAGGGGAGGGAAGGGAGATGAAACGGTATTTTCTTCCTGTTCCATCAAACCAAACTAGCTCTAATTTTCAGTACCTCATCATTGTTTTCTCCAACCAAATGGATTGTGCAGAGGATGATTTTACTTATATTTTTCTATAATGCAAGACATACCATATTTACTATTTCAGTTTGCCTTCAATGGAAAATACGCATGAGATGTTTCCCAAATATTCTTGGTGATGTTTCACTTGTATCATACAATCCCAACCAGACTTAAACAAGAAATGTCAACCTGTTGAGCTCAACATTTTGAAGCCCAGAAAGGAAAGATAAAGGTAAGCCCAGTTGTTATGCAGTAAATAACTAAATATCCAAGTTCAACTAGGTAGCATAGGCCTATATGCATCCACTAAAAGAGACAAAACACCACATTGAAAGCTAGGGCATGAACTTGTCTCTAACCTTGAGTGCTGAATGGGGTCCCTTAAAGCTTGACAAGAATTTCAGTAAACAAAGGAGAAAAATTGGAGAGAATAAAACTTTGAACTGTTTCTTCAATGATATAATTCTGTATGGAACTCTGGGATTTATTCATTAGAATCTGACAGATACCAATGAGAAAAAAGCTGAATGTAAAAAAGTATGCAATCATGTTAAATTTTTTTTATTTTTATCAACACAATCATGTTAAATCTTACATTGCTATTTTCCCGTCTTGTGTGTCCTACATTTAAGCATGCTTGTTACTGTCAAATGGACAGCATGTGGGGACAGATTCTTTTAATAGATTAACTTAACTACCATAGTGAGATACCAAGATATTCCCAGAAGTTTCCCATTTGTATTGTATTATCCATTTTTCATCTTGAATTTCTATTCTTGAATCAAGTGTATCACATTGAATAGACTATAGATATTTTAAATTAACAGACCTTTTTGGTTAGCAAATACTGAAATGTAGTTCACCCTACATTTCTCATAATCATTCATGAAAAAACATGCATCCCTAATATTAGGAGTCCACTCCTTCATCAATAGTTAAAAGCACTGTCATCCATACAAGACAAACTGTACTAAAGCATTCTCTTTGGTTAGACTAGTCTCAGGGACACTTGTAAACTATCTCCACAAACATCTTGAGCAAGGCTTCAGCTAATGGTGGTGGATATGATTCCGATTGTTCCCACTATAAGATTAACTCATTGAAATTTCTGGACCTTTTAGCCTTACTAGTCTTATTGACACTTGTAAACCATCCTGTCCACGAGCATCTCAGGTAAGGCATCACCAAGGATGGAGGATATGATTTCAATTGTTCCCCGAAATAAGCTGACACTGATAGACAAGACATACCTGGATTTATGCTCCATTCCTAGTCCCATCTCCCATGCTTTGCTTATCAATTGTACATACACTCTGGTAGAGTTAAAGAAAAGGAGCAAAATGGACTAACCTCAAGGATAAAAGATACTGAAAATGGGGTTACCAATTCATTAGGATTTTTTACCATTTTAGCTTCACTTCGTCGTCTAACTTTAAACTCATCTAATTGTTTAGTTGGTTTCCTCTGCAAAAGCATAAACACAAGCAGTTTTTGTTGGAGGGGGGGGCATGTGTCAAGTTATGGCCTGATATATACTTGATATAAGCAGCAGAAAGCAGGGAGGGCCTACTCAAAAATTAGGTAAGTTAGCTAGGCTACTCTGAAAACACATCTTTATTCAAAGAAGTGAGACCCATCAAAGAATGACAGAATGTAAATTCACCTGCAAATATTCTCCCCCTGACTGTACCCACTTTTGAGACTTTGTAACCTCTGTTTTTGCCCCCTTGTTAATCTTTAGTTCCATACCAATATTACAGGATGCATAAGTAAATAAAATGTTGATTAGTTCTAGAGCATACTGCATCAAGATGAATAATATATGGCGGGAAATAAGGCAAAGAGAGGATTTGTTTAGGCATTTGAATATAACATAACATAGTCATATGGTATTTTGACCAATCCCTAATTTAGGGCAGAGGGTTGTCCCTTTGTTTACTAAATATACATTTTGTTTTTTCTTTTGCAGCCAAGTGGTATTTACTAATTAACTTACATGCAGCAGATTAAGCTTATCCTTTCAGTGGTAATTAAGTCAGTACCAGGGGATTTAGGAGCAAATTTTTTTTTTCTTTTGATTAATGAGGTAGTTATTTATATGTAATCTACCAATCTTTCCCAAAGTTCAAATTTTAATTATCAAGGCAGAGATCCCTTACAAATTAATTTCATTTTTAAACTCAAAACATAAGAGTCATCAACCCTCTAACTTTAAAACATGAGTTCTTGGGGGTCACATAGACTTGTTTATTTTATTTTATACTTGGATGGTCAAATTATCTCAAATCACATAGATTGATTTTATACCAATATGTTAAGTAACAAAACCTTTCTATATATAACAACGATCTAAATAGTTTGGTAGTAATCTCTTTTTAATGGAGATAAGAAGTTACGAGTTTAAATCATATAATATGTGGATCAGGTGAGTCAAAGAAAAAAAGAAAATTGTCTCATACTGTGTAACTTAGGATAAAAAAAATAAAAAATAAAAAACCTTTCTATACATGCATGAAATTGAAGCATAGGATTCCAAAACCTTTTACATTTAGCAAGAAAGATCCTGGTCAAGCTAGGCCCTTGAAAAAGTGACTCAAATATCAAAAGGGGTAGGAATCCCAAGTAAAGGGAGACCCAACATCCACATAAAGCTAAACTTGGCTAACTCGCGGAGTTGAGTTGCGTATATATCTCCCAATTGTCAAATTCTGCTCCACTCCACAGCAGGGGTCATTTTCTCTCTTTCTTTTTTCAAAAATTGGATCAAAGAATATTTACCCATCTTGAAAATTTTTTGAATAAATAAAATCTACCAAAAGGGAACAACTTTGTGTTGTACATATTTTTTGTACATAAAAGTTTTAAGGGGAGAGGGGGGTTACCTCAATGTCATGTCAAACCTTGTCATGAACTCCTACGGGAACTTACAATAATATTTAAGTATTACCTATCCATTAATTGAAGGACTACTGACATTAGTACTCGTAGGCTCGCAGCTAAGGATAAACCATTGAAAAATTCAAACCTCATTAACTAAACCAACATCCAAGGACATTTTTACGTTATTTATTCCTGCATTTGATTTTTTGGGAAGCAACATAGGGTAATTAATCAAAACTTTATATTTAGTCTAAACATAAATGATTTATCTTTAATTAAATATATAAATTTAATTTAGTATGCATAAATAGATGTAAGACACTATGAAACCACTTATGAAAAAATTGTAGTTCACACATTTTATTTAGATTTATGTTAAAATGGTCTCTCTCTTTCTGCCTTAACTTTCTTTAAACTTCTTGTTCAGTTTTTAGCATGTCTAATTTGATTTAGGGAAAGCAAATACCAAAATTATGATTGGCGCCAAAAATAAATCCAGAATGAGGTCCCATTCCAAACAAAAGTAGAGATTAGTTAATTTTAGTGAATTGCTTATTGATGAGCATATAATGGGACACTACACAAACAACAAGACAAAAATATATAAAGAGGACTCGCATTGTATTCCATTCCGAAAGTTAAATTTAAAGCTCTACCCCAAGACAAGTTGCTTTCCTTTTCTGCAGAACGGTGACACCAATTTCACAACAGAAAACATGTAGCATATGGTTTGAACATTGGTACATGAATTGGGGACGATGTCACAGTAGTTTAATTGGTTTTTTCAATTAATAAAATGCGTGTTAATCAGAGTGCATTCACTTATTTGATATTATTGGATTATTGTGAAACTTATTTTATTAATGTATTGTGAGACTTCATTATAAGATAAAATTGTGATTAACACTATAGAAACATTATTTTTTTCCTATAACTTT